TTACCCAATGTCACATGGTTATTACCCTAACTTACAAGATATGGGAAACCCAAAAATAGATGGTCTTATATAGACGTATTGCATGTCCTTAGATTTATTGACTTATCGTTCATAAAGATAGAGACAAAGTCCGAAATAGCCACGGTCAAGATTGTAGAAATACAGATATACAAAATAAACAAGTCAGTCGGGATACCAGAAATATTCAAAGTCAAAATACAGGCCAAGGTCAATATCCGAAATTCCAAAGAGACTTACTGTATGCGCTATAAATGTATCAAGGTATAAACCATGATAAGGCACTGAATAAGGGTCCAAATAAGCATTATATAAACTAACATGACTTCAGACTGGTCCACTTCATCTCTGTGACTCCTAAAAGTAAGAAAAAAAGTCTATACAGGCCAGCAAAATGTGCAGATATAGAGGCGGAAAGGATAATTTAAAATGAAAAACTATTACTCTAACCTGAAAGAAAGCACTCAAAAGGCTTCAATATAAACAAAAGAACATTTTTTAAAGCAGATGATTTGCATATAATCAATGTTTTAGTCCAAATACTTTGACATATTAAGAAAAGTTTGATAATGGGACTGGCACTGGCCCAAAGGTATGCTGGGCCACCGGGAAATTTCACACCCAGCATATGTGGGAAAACGGAGGCTGTAGGGTCCGTCCATCCTGGGACCCTTCCTCGTTTCCTCCAGCTTCACTGGACCACCAGGGTATCCTGTATCCCCCTCCCTGCCCTCAGGTAGAAACATAGAAACATAGAATGTGACGGCAGATAAGAACCATTCAGCCCATCTAGTCTGCCCAATTTTCTAAATACTTTCATTAGTCCCTAGTCTTATCTTATAGTTAGGATAGCCTTATGCCTATCCCACGCATGCTTAAACTCCTTTACTGTGTTAACCTCTACCACTTCAGCTGGAAGGCTATTCCATGCATCCACTACCCTCTCAGTAAAGTAATACTTCCTGATATTATTTTTAAACCTTTGTCCCTCTAATTTAAGACTATGTCCTCTTGTTGTGGTAGTTTTTCTTCTTTTAAATATAGTCTCCTCTTTACTGTGTTGATTCCCTTTATATATTTAAATGTTTCTATCATATCCCCCCTGTCTCGTCTTTCCTCCAAGCTATACATGTTAAGATCCTTTAACCTTTCCTGGTAAGTTTTATCCCGCAATCCATGAACCAGTTTAGTAGCCCTTCTCTGAACCCTCTCTAAGGTATCAATATCCTTCTGAAGATACGGTCTCCAGTACTGTGTACAATACTCCAAGTGAGGTCTCACCAGTGTTCTGTACAATGGCATGAGCACTTCCCTCTTTCTACTGCTAATACCTCTCCCTATACAACCAAGCATTCTGCTAGCATTTCCTGCTGCTCTATTACATTGTCTGCCTACCTTTAAGTCATCAGAAATAATCACCCCTAAATCCCTTTCCTCATATGTTGAGGTTAGGACTCTATCAAATATTCTGTACTCTGCCCTTGGGTTTTTACGTCCAATATGCATTATCTTGCACTTATCCACATTAAATGTCAGTTGCCACAATTCTGACCATTTTTCTAGTTTACCTAAATCATTTGCCATTTGGCTTATCCCTCCTGGAACATCAACCCTGTTACATATCTTAGTATCATCAGCAAAAAGACATACCTTACCATCAAGACCTTCTGCAATATCACTAATAAAAATATTAAAGAGAATGGGTCCAAGTACAGATCCCTGAGGTACCCCACTGGTGACAAGTCCAAGCTTCGAATATATTCCATTAACTACAACCCTCTGTTGCCTGTCACTCAGCCACTGCCTTACCCATTGAACAATATTTGAATCCAAACTTAAAGATTGCAGTTTATTGATAAGCCTTCTATGTGCAACAGTGTCAAAAGCCTTACTGAAATCTAGGTAAGCAATGTCTACTGAACCACCCTGATCTATAATTTTAGTTACCCAATCAAAAAAATCAATAAGATTAGTTTGGCATGATCTCCCTGAAGTAAACCCATGTTGTCTCTGATCTTGAAATCCATGTGTTTTTAGATGTTCATCAATCCTATCCTTTAACATGGTTTCCATCACTTTCCCCACTACTGAAGTAAGGCTTACTGGCCTATAGTTGCCCGACTCCTCCCTATTACCTTTCTTGTAAATGGGCACAACATTCGCTAACTTCCAATCTTCTGGGACTACTCCTGTTAACAATGATTGGTTAAATAAATCTGTTAATGGTTTTGCTAGTACACCACTAAGCTCTTTTAATAGCTTTGGGTGTATTCCATCAGGTCCCATTGACTTATTTGTCTTTACTTTTGACAGTTGAAATAGAACCTCTTCCTCTGTAAACTCACGTGTAATAAATGACTCATTTATCCTTTTTCTCAACTGAGGTCCCTTTCCTTCATTTTCATCTGTAAATACAGAACAAAAATATTAATTGAGGCAGTCAGCTAGAGGCAGGGAGGGGGAAATCCACTACACACACACTGTATCCACCACACACACACACACTGCATTCACTATACACACACATTCTTCATCCACTACCACACACACACACACTCTGCATCCACTATACACACACTGCATCCACTATACACACAAACACACTCTGCATCCACTATAAACACACAGTACATCCACTATACACACACACACACACAATACATCCACTATACACACACTGCATGCAATACACAGACACTGCATAACACAGTGGGTGTGTTTTGGTTGCTCTGGTATTGTTGGGTGGAGGGGCAGCTGTCACGGTAGTGTACCCCAACACGCAAGATTTAGTCCAACGAGAGACAAGATAAAAAAGATACATCTTACCGGGCCTTAGAATGGCCGGACTCGACGTAGACAGGCAAAAGACAGAGTCAAGAACGAGCGGAGGTCAAGGGAACAGAGAGACAGCGAAAACAAGAACTAGCCAAGGACTGGTACATAGGAGTCAGGAAACCGGCGAACAAGACAAAGCAGGGATAAAGAGAAAAACGGAGTCAGGAACAAAGCCAAGGTCAAGCACGAAAAAAACACTACTAGACGAAGCAAGCACTAAAGGGAACTGAATCAGAAACCACGATAGGGCAGGGAGCTAAGGGAAAGGTGAGTATAAATACCTTAGTGTTTAATTTGATTGGCCCCTGTCATATCCACATCCCCAAAACGTGAGTGTATGGGGAATGTGGAATGACATGGGCCAATGGGAGACCGTTTTGTATTTTGGCTCCCACTGTCCCATAAAAGAGCGCAGCGCGCACCCAGTGCCAGGTGAGTCACATGGCCACGTCTCACGGTCAGTGTATGCCTTCCGGATATCCCCGTTGGACGAGCCGCATGCGGCTCGTGCAGATGCAGGACCGCGCGCGGCGGGGAAAGAGGACCTCGCCCGGCCTCCGGAGAGGGTAAGTACGCTACAGCAGCATTTCATCCTTGAACCCAGGCAGCATCCACTATATACACACACTCCATCCTCTATATACACACACACTGCATTCACTATACACACACACTGCACCCACTACACACACACTGTACCTGCTAAACACACATGCAATGCATTCACTACACACACTGCATGCAATACACAGACACTGCATCCACTACACAAATACACACTCTGCACCCACTACACACAATACACACACTGCATCCACTACACACACTGTATAACACAGTGGGCCTGTTTTGGTTGCTGTGGCAGCATTTCATCCTTAGACCCAGGCAGCATTACCTATATACACACACTCACTGCATCTGATATACACACACACACTGCATCCGCTGTACATACACAAACACACACTGCATCCACTATACACACACACACACTCTGCCCACTATTCACACACTATTCACACACACTTTGCATCCACTATGTACACACTACATCCACAATATACACACACTGCATCCACTACCACACACACTCTGCATTCACTACACACACACACAAACTGCATCCACTACACAGACAAACACACACTGAATCTACTAAATATACACACACACAAAAACACACTGCATCCACTATACACACTGCATGCAATACAGACACTGCAGACAGTGCATCCAATACACAAATACCCACTCTGCATTCACTACACACACTGCACAAAATACACACACTTCATCCACTACACATATACTGCATTCACTATACACACTGTATAACATAATAGCCATGGCCGTGTTTTGGTTGATGTGGGGGTGGTGGGGGGGGAGGGACAGCATTTAATCCCTGGACCCTGGAAGCACAATGTCTTGGGCCGGCTCTCTCAGTACCCACTATATACTGCTAAAGGAGAGACCTACATCTTTGTACCATTTCAATATGATTCTATGAAAGAAGTGTTCAACAAAACCCATGCTGAGAAGTTACAACCTCATTGGTCTTATGACTGTACCATAGAATGCTTCCTGGCATTATGCAGGGTCGGGGATACTCTTTGCCCCATCGTAAAGGTAAAATCACAGAGAAGTATATGGCCACCTTGCTATAAGATTTATCTCTCTGGTTTTTCATCTCTGATAACCTCAATATCTCCATGTCTCCCCATCCATAATGGTGTGTTTATTTCTTTTTTTTTCTTCTAACCCATAGCCTTTATATTTCAGACTGGACCCCTAAAAACAGCATTGATTAACTACACCCAGTACTCACAAGCAACCAAGCCCTGCAGAATCTTCTAAGCAGAGGTATCGTCTCTGGAAAGCTGCCCACCCCATGGTCATTACCATAATTATAGATAGTGCAGATCAGCTGGATGAATGTGCAATTCAGTTCAGTCCGAATTGAAATTCAGCCGAATGTCGGAATGGCCAAAGTGCTGAAGTTCGGAAGTGCCAAACTAAACCGGATTGCTGAAGTGCTTCAGACTTCTGAAAAGTGGCAAAACGGTTTGAGGTAGGATTGGGGTAGGGTTAGGGATAGGGATTCGGGTAGGGTTAGGGGTAGGGTTCGGATTAGGTTAGGGTTAGGTTAGGAGTAGGGTTAGGGTTAGGGTTTGGGTTGGGTAAGGACTAGGGTTAGGTTAGGGTTAGGAGTAGGGTTAGGAGTAGGTTTAGGGTACCTCTACTCCTAACCCTATCCTAACCCAACCCTTCTCCTATCCCTACCCTAACCCTACTCCTACTCCTAACACCTAACCCCTAACCCTACCCTAACCCTACTCCTAACCCAACCCTAACCCTACTCTTAACCCTACTCCTAACCCTAATGCTACTCCTAACCCTACTCCTAACCCCTAGCCCTAACCTAACACTACTCCTAACCCAACCCTAACCCTACTCTTAACCCTACTCCTAACCCTAACCCTACATCTCCTCACCTTAAATCCTTCTGTTAACAAACTGCACCCTTAACCATGGTTTAACCACTCATAGGTATATGTGTATATATATGCCTATGATTATATACATGCATTTGTATAATCTTTATATCTATACAACAAAACATATTTTCTCTAAATAATGTTCTCCCTTCTATTTTTCACTTTCACACTAACTTCACTCATTACTAAAATATCCCTATCCTTCTGCTCATCTGTCCCTGGCAACGCCATCTTCATTACTTCCCTTTTACTCCCCTCTCTATTCATCCCATGCACTCTACATATACCTTTCCAGCCTATCTCCTCTAACTCCTCCCAAATCCTTTATATACATACCCTCCAAGTAAACTTTCAAATCCTACTCCCACCTTCACTTCCTTTCTATCCTTCTGCTTGTAGCAACTGGCGATGTCTCTCCAATCTCGGCAAACTCACCATGTAGTAACTCAAGGAACCACACCAATCTCATATCCATCTCATGTTACTCTTCCTCTAAATCCTCCTTCAATACTGACCTCTGGAATGCACACTCTGTTTGCAATATTACAAAATCCACTGCTGTCCACGACCTCTTAATCTCTTGTTCCCTAGATTTACTAGCCTTAATAGAAACATGGCTCTCCCCCTCTGACACTGCTACCCTTGCATCTTTATCCTTTGGTGGTCTTCAACTTACCCAGAACCCAAGACACTCTGAATGTAGAGGTAGTGGTGTAGGGTTTCTCCCCTCACTGCTCCTTCAAACCTCTACCCACCCCTCCTCCCTCTCTTTCCCATCATTTGAAATTCATTCGATTTGCCTTTTCAAACCCTTCTCTGCTAACGTTACCGTTATTTATCGCCCTCCTGGTTCCCCTCTCTCTTCCTTGACCACTTTGCTGCCTGGCTACCCTATTTCCTCTCTTCTAATATTCCATCCCTAATTCTCTGGGACTTCAATATTCCCAGTAACACCCACCTTTGACCTCAGCAACCTCTAAACTACTTTCAATTACTTCCTCCCTCGGGCAATTGCAGTGGGCTAATTCTCCCACCCATATAGCTGGCAATACCCTCGACGTCATCTTCTCTTATGCATGTACAGTATCTAATATCCACAACACTCCATTTCCTCTCTCTGATCACCACTTCTTATCATTTGCTCTCGAGTACCCCCTCACCCAACAACTTCAGCCTAACCACGCTCAACTCAGGAGGAACCTTAATTCTATTGACCTCCAACAGCTGTCAACTGATATTGATTCACAACTACTATCCATCCCTTCCCTCTCCTGTCCCTCATTGGCCATCTCCACATATAATACTACCCTCACCTCTGCCTTGAACTCTGCATCCCTGCTCCAAACATGCACCTTGAGGAGGGCACGCCTCTAACCTTGGCATACTATATCAACACGCTACCTGCAAAGATACTCCCGTTGTGCTGAACGGTCCTGGAAGTCTCGCACCCAGTCAGACTTTCTCCATTATATATTCATATTGTGTTCATACAGTGCAGCCCTTGCCCTCACCAAACAGTCATACTTTTCCTCTCTCATTAGTTCATGCTCCCACAATCTCAGGCATCTCTTTGACACCTTTAATTCTCTTCTTTGCCCTGCTGTGGCCACCCCCCAAACTAACCTTGCAACCAATATCTTTGCATGTTACTTTACCGACAAGATTGAACAGGAAATAATTCTCCCCACCCTGCCTTTCTCTTTCTACACGTAGATCATGCCTTTCCTACCTTTCAGACATTCTCCCCAGCTACTGAACAAGAGGTAGCTGTGGTTTTCCTTTCCTCTCGCCCCACCACTTGCCCACTCGATCCTATCCCATCTCACCTTATCAGATTTCTCTCCCCTTGTCTTGTGCCTTCCTTAACACACATCTTCCACTGCTCTTTCTCTTCTGGCATTGTCCCTGCTGACCTTAAACATACCACTGTAGTACCTATCCTGAAAAAAACCTTCTCTTGACCCGTCCTCCCACTCTAACTAACATCCCATATCCCTGCTCCTCAAAGCTTCTGGAAAGACTTATCTTTAGTTTACTTCCTTAATTCCAACTCTCTCTTTGACCCACGTTGATCATGCTCTCCTTCCTCAAACTCTTCAATCACTCGGTCTCTGTGACTCTATCCTCTCGTGGTTTTCTTCTTATCTCTCCCAACGCTCATTTAGTGTGTCCTTTTCTAATGATACCTCCTCCCCTCGTCCTGTCTCAGTTGGAGTCCCCCAAGGCTCTGTCCTTGGTCCCCTTCTATTTTCTCTTTATACTGCATCTCTTGGCAAACTTATTACCTTTTTTGGATTCCACTACCACCTGTACGCTGATGACACCCAGATATATCTCTCCTCCCTGGACCTCTCCCCTGCCGTCCTGCAACGTGTTACTGCTTGCCTTTCTTCCATCTCTAACTGGATGGCCTCCTGCTTTCTGAAACTCAATCTCTCTAAAATTGAGCTCCTTGTCTTTCCTCCTCCTAATACTGATCCTCCTCTTTCGCTCTCCTTTCAAATTAGTGGTATCCACATAAGTCCATTCTTGCAAGCGCGCGGTCTTGGCGTCATACTTGATTCTGGCCTCACCTTTGAGTTTCACATCCAGTATGTTGCCAAATCCTGTAGATTCCATCTTAAAAACATAGCCCACATCCACCCTTTTTTTACGCAAGATGCTACCAAGGAGCTTGTCCCTGCTCTAGTAATTTCCTGCATCTATTATTGTAACCCTTTCCTAATTGGTCTTCCCAAAAGCCATATTGCCCCACTACAGTCTGTAATGAATGATGTTGCCAGACTGATTTTCCTCTCTAGTCAGTCCTCTCACACCTTTCCCCTCTGTCAGTCCTTACATTGGCTTCCTGTATCCTATAGGAGTCAATTCAAAGTGCTAACCCATAAAAATAAAGCACTGAACAATTCTAGCCACTCTTATATCTCTTCACAGATCCATAGGTATGCCCCTTCTCGGTCTCTCCGCTCTGCCAGTGACCTTCTCCTGTCCGCTGCTCGCACCCGTACGGCCAACTCAGGCTTTCAGGAGTGGGCATTATGAATACTTTATAATGTCATTTGGGTTGTGTAATGCTCCAGCGGCATTCCAGGATTTCATTAACAATTTAAGGGAATATATACATACATGTGTTCTAGTGTAACTAGATAATATACTCATTTATTCTCCTTAACTGTCCACTCACCATGATCATGTTAACAAAGTACTTAGAACTCTATTACATAATGGTTTATAGTGTACATTAGTAAAATGTTTATTCACACAAATTCATCGGTTATGTGATATCAGCCAATGGTTTTTAAATGGATCCTAAAAAATTAGAGGCAATATTAGAGTGGCTCAGGCCAATGGGATTAAAAGCAATACAAAGATTAAATGGATTTGCTAATTACTATTGCATATTTTTTAAAAAAAGGGTTCTACTCAGTTATTTCTCCCATCACTAATCTCACACGGCAAGGAGCTAATACATGGCTCCTTGAAGCCATACCTGCTTTCAATTGTCTCAAGTTCCAATTTTCCACTGCTCTTGTTCTCACTCACCTGACCCTTCTAAACCCCTTGTTTTGGAGGTTGATTCCTTAGAAACAGGAGTAGAGGCGGTAATCTCTCAAAGGGAAACACAAGATACTCCTCTTGATCCTTGTGGCTTTTTCTCAAATTTGAAACTGAATCTGGCCATGAACAAGACATCATTCACACTATACCACCTGAAAGTATAGTAGCAACTATCATACTATCCATGTCTTCTTTGTTGATAGAAATTATACCTGTAGCTTAAACACAGGCCCCCGCTGAGAAATCTCTCAACACATTATGTTCCACAAGCAGAAAGAAGGGGTATATTCTCTTTATGTCAAGACAAACAAAAAACGCTGTTCATCCTGGTATATTCAAAACTATGTCTCTATTTCTAGTCAATGCTGGTGGTCCTCATTAAGTTTTGTACAAGCATACGTTAAGGCTTGTATCATTTGTGCCATGACCAAAGCATCATGTCAATTACCTTGCTGTCTCTTACAACAACTTCCTATTCCTGAAGTTCCATGGTCCCACAAGGCTATGGACTTCATCATAGATTTACCTCCATCGAAAGGGCACACCACCATCCTAACAATGGTAGATAATTTTTCAAAAATGGTCCATTTGATTCCTCTTCCCAAATTACCTACATCATCTGAGGTAGCCAAAATATTTATGGATATCTACGGGTAACAAGGGAACACAGTTTATATCCAGATTCTGGAGGACATTCTGTTCTGAACTAGGAATTTCATTGTAATTTTCATTTTCATATTATCCTCAAACAAATGGGGCAGCAGAAGGAGCTTTCACTCTTTAGAAGCATTCTTGCAATGTTTTATATCTCATAATCAGTACAATTGGTCTCCCTTGTGCAGAATTTGCCAAAAAACACTACACTTGATTCTTCATGGCACAGCTTTTTCAATATTAACTCTGGTAGACACCCTTCTGTTACTACATCCAAATTCTATTATACTGGGCTGACTACTCTTGATCACCAGCTGAATGATCCTAAGAGAAAGGTGGAAACAGGTTTAACGAGCCCCTGGATGTGGCTTCCTCCTGCCACAAGAGCTATGTAGACAAATGACGTACCATCTCACTATGTTATTAGGTGACAGGGTCTGTCTCTTTTTACCCATAACATAAATACTGCTTTATTTATCTGTAGGTTGCCTTGTTTTCACATTTCTTTTAGTGGAATATAGAAAAGTAGGTCTCAGATGTAGCCTGCAGCCAGAATGTGGTTGGAGTATTGATGGCACATAAGGTCTCTTATCACATTTAGTTCCTGCAAGTCAAACTTGTCTTGTTACATTTACTTGTATGTGTCACAGTTATCATCAAAGGG